CTAAATAAGGAAAACAGAAAGTAGCATTTAATGAATTGTCTCTTCGTCAACAAAATAACAGATGCTGCATGTAGGTAGAATCCATTTCAACTGACTCAGATGTTGAGCCAAATTCTGATCAAAAGAATTCACAGTAAAACTTTATTTTTAGCAAAAACAATTAAAGCTGAGCTAAAAACGTTCTTTTTTTATTATTATTATCAGTTTGAGCTCATTTTGCAACTCTGGAGATATTTTGATGAGCTAGTGAAAAGCATAAAGTATGTACTTTATGCTTTTCATTGTTAGCTCATCAAGATATATCAATATATAATGCATTATTGTCTGAAGTGCATCGATGTAGGGTAGAGTTTAGACAAAATCTGAATGCAGTGCAGCTGGCAGGTCGTATTGAAGAAAGACAAATGAATGCGATGTTAATTTTTAATGACTTCCTTTAGTTAATTAATGTTTCTTCTGTTTTCTTAAATCAACTAACTTTGATTAAATATAGTATATGAAGTCTTTCCTGTTAACAGATAAATTAATTATGGGGCTCAAACGTAAAATACTTTCCTATTCTGCTTGGTACAGAATAACATGCAGTACTGTAAAGTGCAGCTGAAGTATTGCTCTAAATTCAGAAATGATCTTTCCTGACAGTCTGGCGTTTTTAAGTGCAGTTTACGGTTTACAGTCATCTCGATTAACTTTCTTAGTCGTGGAACGAAAATAGGCTTTTTGATGTAGAAGCAGTCTCAGAAAAACTATTTTAATCTGTCCTCGTCGGTCAAATGTATCGCACCAGAACAGCACACCGGGCGTGTGGCGCGTAATGAAAGATGCTCCAACTGGATTCATTCTGTGAAAGAAAAGTGAGTTGTTTAGCAGAAAGCGACGCACCAGTTGCTGGAAGGCCGGCTGGTCGATGTCGCTCTGGAGGGCGAAGTCACTGAGGACTTTCCAGGGCGGCTGGTAGCTCTGCACCTCCACCGGGTTGGCCTGGATGCCGCCGTCGTGCCGCTCCGGACTGGCCGCAACCATCGGGGTCCCTGTCAGTCCCTGGATGTTCTGTGCGCGAAGGATGCTCGCGATTAACACATGAGCTTAATATTTACCATCATATGGGGAGGGTTAGGTGTGTGTGTGTGTGTGTGTGTGTGTGTGTGTGTGT